ATATATATATATATATGTACTCGTACACACATGGACCTCGAGGTCAAAGTTGGCCAAGTACCCCGTGGGAAGCCAGGCGCCATCCACGGGTGGCGATGTGCCTCAAGCGGCAACCGGGGGTTTAGGGTTTGGGGCTTCAGGGTTTAGGGGGTCTCCACCGCGGACACCGTGGAAGGCTTGCGGGGTTGTCTACTGTAGTATGTGGCTTGGGGGCTTGGTGATAGTGCTCTAGGGTTTAGGGTTTAGAACTGGTTTGAGGGTTTAGTACATGAGGCTTTGATTTAGGGGTTGAACACTTTTGAGCTTGGGTTTAGATGTTTGAATCTTCGAGAGTGAGTACTGTCAGGTTGGGATAAGGGCATCGGGTGTGGGCTTCTCTAGAAGCACAGCTGCCTGCATATATACTGAGCTGTTTCAGGGGTATCTGCACTACAAAATCCAAAGAACGTGGGTTTTCCAGGTTATCGGTTATCGGTTGGGATTAGAGCTTGCAGAGTTACGGATAGAAGGAATACGTAGGCTTGGGAGGTCGTGAACCTTGATGCCAGACAGCGGATACTGTTCATGGTTACTCTGTTGCAGTAGCATTTCGACGATGTAAGAAGTTGGCACACTTGAAGCCTTTTCGGCTTGGGGCTTGCGGTAGAGGAGTCTTCAAGATTAACGCATGCAGGTTATTTAAAACGAAGTTGCATCACAGTATCACAAACAACGATTTACGAGATCTGCAGTTCGACTCAAAGGCGAACGACATCTTCACGGATCACTCATAAGTGGACTCTTTGCTGGACCCCAGCTGTCATGTTTCGCAGCTGAGAGCGCTGCACTGGAGCTCCGAATCCGAGAGGATCAAAGCCTGCCGCCACGGACAAACAAACTTGGAGTCGTGTAGGGCTGCGGGTTTTCGGAGCTGCATCGAGTTTACCAAGTTTACCGTCCATTAGGGTTTAGAGAGAGCTATCCCAGAGCCAGACTCCTGCAACATGGATCGCAGATTTCGCCTCTAACTCCCGAAGCGGCAAAGGCAAATTCTGCATCCTTGCCCTAGCAAGAACCGACACCCTAAACCTCAAACCCTAGACCGTCGACCCTCGACCCCTTGACTTGAACTGCGACCAAAAGGGACGGGACCTGGCTCCTGCGAGTTCCGAAGATGCAGCGGATGAAGAGGTCCTCGGGATTCAGAGCTGTGCAGCTTACTGTCAATATCCATACTTGGGTAGGACAAACATTTTTTGCTGTGCTCGACTCGAACCGTTAAATTTGCTGGTCATGGTCCTGCCCGTGTGGCCGGAAGTGCTGGCCATGGACTCGGACCATCGTCCCACCTGCACTCATTCTTGTCCAAGTCAAGTTTGACCGGCCACTGCGGTTCTGCGGTTGGAGTGCCAGCGACTGCTGCAAGAGGTGCCAACCATCCCCCTGATGACGACGACGATGGAGATGATGATGATGATGACGGTGGTGATGATGATGACGGCCATGGTGATGACTGGAAGCGATGATGACGGCCATGGTGAACATGATACAATGGCGAGCATGGTGTAGATGCTGGTCATGGTATTGCAGATGCCGAGGAGGAGGAGGAGGAGGAGGAGGAGGAGGGAGGATGATAACAGTTTCCAGGATTTGATATGGCGATGATGACGATGGTGGACATGGCAATGCCGATGACGATGTTGATAATAATGGAGACAGGTTGTGATGATGAGGGTGGAGGTGGTGGTGGTGGTGATTAAAAACAGTGTCCATACTGACACGATTCATAACGCTGCAAGTTATCTTGGGTATGCCTACAATTGCCTACACATCACTTCCCGGGTGTCCATGATAAGCGCACGCGGTCCTACAGAGCCTACGGCTCAAGTGGACACTGACTGATGTGCGCAGGCACATCTAAAAGCATTGTCTCGGCCTTCAACAGGGCCCTCAATCGGATCCACTGTGAGCGGTTCTGGGTACGCCACCTGAGCAACAGACGCCGGGATGCACACTCAACAATGGGCAGGTATTCGGTTAGGTAGAGTCGTAGCTTATGCAGTGCAAACGGTAGGCATCCTTGACTCTGGACTTCGTTTCGTAAATACTTCAGTGCCAGAGCCGGAGACTGGGGCAGGCACGAAATTCACGTACGCCGTGGAGGACCGTGCGGTGCCGGCACCGTCGGTGGACAGTCGAACCAGTACGCCTGCTGTCCGATTGCTTCATCGTTTACGATTTGGTAGTTCTCTAAATTAGGGTCCCGTTTTGGGTCCCCAATATAGTACGGCACCCTTATAAAAAGGACCCTTATAAAAAGGACCCTAAAAGGGACCCTAATTCAGAAAACCACCCTTTTGTTGCTCAGATGATCTGCAAGGCCCTCCGGCACAAAGCCAGGCTCTACATGGAATGACTAGGCCCCAAACGCTCTGAGGCTGCACCATGTGGCCGGATCTCCCAGTGCGGAGTCGTGCCTTGGCGCTGGCGAACGGATAACATATCCGAATAAGAGGTTTGGAGCCTATTTTAGGGTTTAGGGTTTAGGGTCCCTGCTTGAATTTGGACGTTATGTAAAGCTGAAGACTAGAGTCAGGGTTCCGGGAACGCGGACCCCCTGGGGCCTGAATTGAAAATGCCTATCAAGGCCGCGGCAAACCACTTGCCGGTCGCTGGCGAGAACCGAAACTGGGACCTTCCGGCAAAGCTGCTTCATGCTCTTCTGCCTTCATTTTCCCATGCTCGTTCGTGACATGCGGATGCTTGCTGGTTCATGGGTAGTTACAGAAGCGGGTCACCTTCACAGGGGCTTTGGCTACCTACACTTGCCCCTGCAATACTTCTCACCGTGCGTCTGACTGCCCGTGCATGTTGACGTACCTGCGTTACACCCCAAAACAATCCAAAGAGGAAGGCAGGTGCGTTAGATCCTCCTCGGAGCCTACGGTCCATAAGCCCTTCAGACCGCAAGCCCTACACATCCTAAAGGCTGATCCGCTGACAGTCTGAATCCAGAAACCATGAGCTCGAAAGCCTCAACCTTCACATCTCAAGGGTGCTTTTGCGGGGCTGTTCGACCTCGACTGCCCGTTCCCCTTCGCCGAAGATGCAGAAGCGCGCATCCGCCGCCAAACTGGCCCCTGCAGGGTTGGAAACTTTCGGGCTTTGGGTTTCTACATGTCGTCTGTGGGTTGAAGGGTACTGTATCGCCCAGGCAGGAAATGGCAGGAATCAACTTCCAGCTGGCTTCAGACGTTGCAGGAGTCCTCTGTTAGCAATCCGTAATTTTGCTGGATGAGTCGGTGAAGTGTTGGGCCAATCGACAAGGATCCTGACGCAAACAATGCACAATGCTCGAACTGTGTCACATCATCCGAGTCTCCGTGCGCCCGCCGCCGATGCCACAATTCAGGAGTAAACAGAACTGCTCAAGCTCCCCCTTAAAGGTGTCCACATTGTGAGAAAGTGCCGTACTTCTGACTGCTGCGATCAGCTGCCAATAGACCAGACTGTTTGATACCGGACTGCAGGACAGCAGAAGAGAAATAGATGCAGTTTCCCACAACGTGGCCTGTCACAGTCAAAGGCAGGTTTCCCAACGCCGAGACGTTCTCCGGATCGACCTGGTGCAGCTATCGGACTGCCTTGTGCATGTTGTGTTTCTCTTCCATCGCACCAGGCTCCCAGCTGTCACGACAGAGGTCGCCGTCACAAAGCGAACAAGAACCTCGGCTCTTCCAAAGGAGCTTCGTGCTGAGCCTAAACCTCCATCGATTAAACCACGAAAGCCGCCGAAGGCCCCGGCTGGAGGCACCCCCGGAGTGAAGTCCTGTCCGTTCATGGCAACCTGCAGGGACCGATTCAGCAGACTCCATGCCCAGCAAAGTTGCTTCGTCAGAGTTTGCAGGGGCCGACGGGCCTCGACTTCGTATGTCGTTCCTGCTGGAGAAGAGGCCTCAGCGGCGCAAGAGCTGAAACCCCAGGGTTCTCCTGGCACTTTTGGAAACTCCGCCTGGCTTGCAGCCTTCAGATCTGTGGATCATGTGCACTTGGATGGCGCTGTGGCTCCCTCATAACCCACCGCAGTCCCCTGAGTCTGAACCGTGAAGAAGATGACAAAGATCATCAGGGTTTTATGGTTTGGGGAGTTCAAGTTGTATGGACTAGGCTTGAGAGGCCTGTTCCGAGTTTCCCGACCCATAGCTGCCCCCCCCTGAGAAGATCCAGTTGCAGCGGTGACTAGGGCCAATTGGACATAAGGGACTCGAAAGAAACTACCGAAATGGCAACCATTGATACCAAGTAGACTTGTGATGACTTGTGGACTTGGGGCGAGTGAGTGACCCTAAACCCTAAACCTCTAAACCCCTAAAGCCTCAGCAACAATGCACTGCAAGTTCTTGGCTAAGACCAGGACCAGACTGAAGCCCGTCGATGGCACTGCACACAAAAGGGTGAAGTTGTTCAGGATGACCTTGCGTAAAGTCGAAAGCCTCGACCCCATAACGTTAACAAGAAGCAAAGTCCAAAGGGCATCCATTACGGTCATGTGATGCTAGCGGAGTTTGCATAGGCTGTTGCTTGCCCGGGGATGGGTCGGACCGGAATGGAATCTAGTCGCAAGGACTCTTCGATCAGAAGCACGCCAGTGCAGCATCGCAGTTGTTGTGCAGGAAGAGGCTTCGCGATAGTTTTCTTGTTTTTTACTATCAATAATATCACCAGAGTCATCATACTATTAGTAGTCTTAATCGGATTCCCTTTGCTTTATGATGTTCTGTTGCTGTTCCCCTTACAGTGGGCTCAGTAGATACAAAACCCGGGCCTCTGCTGGCGCCAGGATACCGCCTTCGCCACCCAGTCGGCACCTGGGCACAGTCAGTAGGTCGTACGTTAAATTTGTGCAATATGATATTATACTTTCAGAATTCAAAATCATACTACATTGGATGATATGATACAGCAAATAGTCTACAATATACTATTGTCATCAGGTTAGATTGCATGGGTTCCTGCCGCACCCTGATCCCGAAATCTTGCAGGCAAGCAAGGCACATTGCCGTCCGAGAGGGTCGGAAATTCTCACCCGACACGAAGAGCTTGAAGCCTGTGCATGAGATTCCATATCAAAGCGACGGTCTTGACTAAAGATGGGTCGGGTACTTGAATCACCCCTCCCCCCTTCCTGCAACCCTTCATTGCTTCCAACTGGACGCAGCTTCCCACATCTCTGGATTAGCTGCTGCTGCAGCACTTGATGATGATGATTGCAGTACTGCTGACAGAAGTCTCTAGATTCTAACACCCGTATAAAACCGAGGACCTGACCCCTCTTAGAGTCTCAGAAGCCCAGATCCCAAGCCTTGTCAGAGCTCAGGGATGCAACTTTCTATACCTGGCCTTCTGCCTGCTGCTTCTCGTCGAACTCCGATGGGTACACCCGGGTTATCTTCCACTGCCTGAGTCTGCGAGAGGGCGTCTCTTTGGCGGTGTAGGGCGGGCGATGGGGTTGGAAGGGCTGCGTGGCACAAAGAGAAGGGCAGTCTATCTGTCTGCACAGAAAAACTGCTGCGCGGTTCTAGACATCCAAGGAGAAGCCACCGAGGCATCAGCTCAGAGTACTCGAAGCGTGCATACGGAGGGCCCTGACAGCGGCCATCCGCCTGCTTTCGGGTTGAGGGCCAGCAGTTGCAACCTTAAGCATCAACCCCTACCTTAAGAACTCGGGTTTAGGACTTAGAATTTAGGATTTACTCCGAAAAGCGGCTACGACGAACCAACCTCTTCTTTGGATGGTATGAAAAGCATCGCACCGGATTCGTTGCAATCGACAGAACTAGGATGGTTGGCGCCGGGAACGAGCCCTCGACGACCCCTCGGTCTCTCGAATCCCCAAATTTCCAAAAGGGGCGATGTGAAGCGGGCAATAGCTGCGGCATATGGTGACTGCCGACGTGTCCTGCACACACTACCTGTGTCAGAGTGCAAATTCAACGAGAGTAAGCTTACGACACCTGTTAAGTTTGAAAGAACCGCAGAAAGAATTTGAAAGTCATCTGAATTAGGCAAACATGGGCAAAAGCATGTACCCGCCCTTGTATCCGAAATTTCAGTGTTGATGTACTGCTCACTGATGACCACGGTCATCATGCTCGTTGATGATTATCGTCAAAGCCCTAAACACAGAACCGCACAAACATGGCGGGCCTGAGCGATGCCCACGTCGATGCTCACCGGGCTCTGCGGCCATGGAGGAGTCTTGCACTGATACAACCTGAGAGCTCTTACAACGACAGCAGAGTCCTGTCAAGCTACGGTTCAGGAGCCCCTTCGCGTGAAGCATCTAGCTTCTCAAGTTTGGGTCCAAGCAAGACCCATCACCAAACTTGACACCAGTCCGTGTTCGAAGCCTTCGTAAGCCCATGGCATGTCCGTGACCTTCACAGCTGGCACGATCGTTGCCGGTGGCGAGCCGAAACAACAGCTCTTCACCTTGGAAGCTGGAAATGATGCCATTGACCTCTCAACACGTCAACGTGTTCTTCTTGCTTGGGCTACGAGCCTGCGACATGTTCAGAAGCTCCGTCTCCACCTCTCCATCGCCGCGCACCACATGCACCTTCGCAAAACACGATATTATGCAACAACATCCTTTTGAGTTCTGGATGTTGAAGTTCAGACAATCAGAGCAGCGTGTCGTCCGAGCATGGTTGCAGCTGAAGACAACTGAAGCCAAGCACTTCATACAAAGCTCGGAGTTTTCCATCGTCTTCTGGCAGAGACTGTCTGAAGATCAGACTCGACCATACACTTCAAACCCTGGGTTCTGAGTATTATTATTATTATCATTATTATTATTGTTCTTATTATTAACCATCCCGGTCATCAGCATCACAGCAGCCGAGCCCTCTGCATCCAGCAGTGTGCCCCCACGCCGCGGCCCGAACTCTGGGTAAATGGCACCTGGTCGCAGAGCCAGGTGTAACTAAGCCAAGTTGTACGGTTGAGGATGCGAAGGATGGCTCCAAGTCTGCAGCGATCCAAACTGTGAGACTTGACTTTTGCTAGTTGACGGTTTTGAAATGTCGGATCCGTTTAAAGGGGCGCCCATGTGCTTGTAGCCAATGGCATGGTGTCAGACTGATGCTGCGGGGCAGAGTACACCTGTATTCCAAGAGGGATAGGGCAGACTCGAAAGCTGGACATCAGGGTACCCAGTGTCCTGAAACTCCCAGTCACGTGTCAGGGTGGATCAGGGTGGGCGTGATCAGCAGGGTTTGGGGTATCCCGTTTCACCTGAACCCAATACCTGAAACCCCAATTCTAGACCTGAAAACCTCGAAGCATTAAAAGCTCAACCCTGGATCTTGAACTCCTGAACCCTTAACTTTTTGCCCTAACTAACCTACATCCCTAAACCCTCTAAAGTACCCTAAACCGCAGTGTGGAGGAAAGCACCCGCCTCGCAGCTCTCTCACAAAGCTGAAGTATGCCGTGGTCGGCCTTGGTCTTACCCGTCCAGGGCGATTTTTTTGCACCACGGTACACATAATATAATGTAGCTTGATGATGAGATGATGATATAGAATGATATAATATGGTTAAAACTAAAAATAACAAATTTCAATCTGTTATAATAAGAAACTGGCGAGTGTATAATTAGTGCTGGCATTGCTCATAGTTCGCTTTCAGGGCATGAGGAGAGGTGAGGCGGTGAGGGTTCCAGCTGTACCGTAACGGCTCGCATGCTTTTGATCTCTTTTGACTTTGTGGTGAGGTCCTGGCGTCCAGTCTGCACCACCATTGATGGAAATCGTAACTGGGACTGTCCTTCAAAGTCAGGGAACCCTGCATCATCGCAATACAAGTAGCAACGCAACAGTGTCGGCCTCAAACCGTGGTCTTTCCCCAGGGATTGCGGCGTCACCTTGCAGCTGAGGCTTTGAGATCGAGCGGAGGCGCAGAATTTCTGGTAGTTTACTTGAGCTCCGAGAACTGGCCTAGAGGATAACGTTACGGTATATATATATATATATAGACAAAGACATGCTTCTGAACGCGTGATACCTGAAAGAGTCGTCAGGGAGTCTGAAGCGTAGTGATGCTCGCAGGAACCAGTTTTGCAGACTCTTCAGTAGGGCGCCGGCACAAGTGATTTCTCGGCTGCTGAGCCATCGTCCCGGAGCTATGGCTCCTGCTTCTTGACTGCCTCAGTGTCAGGAAGTCACAGACAGAAGTGAGAGTTATCCAGAGCCACCTCCAGACGTATGAAAAGGCGAGTTGGTGCTCACAGACAGCTTTCACTCAGGTTGCCTGAGGGACCGCACCGAATCGGCACAAGAGCCCACCCAGTCGTTCTTCGGGGAAGTACCGCCCGTGCACGGTAACCTCAGAACGAATGCACCATCAATATATCTCATAGGCTGTGCCTATGCACATGATACTTACAGTAGCCACGAGTGAGATCTGTCCACGCCGGAGATCGCTTCTTCTGCCGGCTGCTTTGCATGGTCATCGCTTGCACAGAGCCACCAGGAGTCCCGCGTTTGTGCCACCTGTGTTTGGCCCAGAACGTGGCGTCACGCTGTCGACATGCGGCTGCCTCCGAGAGCAAACGGGACCGGTCCAAAGAGCCAGCAAGTCCCATTCGCACGAAAGGAAGCCGGGCCAGCCTGATGTAGGTGAACCGATGCTGGCCTGATTTGAGGAATGACACCTACAATCGTTTGCAATTCTCGCCTGCTGTTTCTTGGCCCACCACAAGGCTCATACTCGAAGACATTCTCTGCAGAAGATGGCACGACACGCACACCTTGTGCAAGGTAGCTATCACGTGTCGCAACGCAAGATCCCGTGCGAAGCTCGTGAACAAAACAGTTCCTGGCTTTCCTCAAACAGGATCCAGCTGCAACCCGAAATACGTCATTGCATGAGTACGATGTGCATGCTGCTCATGCTTCGCGAATGGAAACAAACCGAACGTTGCGGAGCCAGATTCTTGACGAGAGGTGCTAGGTACAGAGACCGCTGCTACGGTATCGGTCCAAACTGGTGCCTGAGGAGCCGGCTGTGCCGGCGTTTGTGTGTTATTCGACTGTTCTGGCTGCTGTTGAAACACGAACGGGTTCTACTAACAAAAGTGAGTTTTTGGAAAGCCATGTGACATGTCAGGTTGGACATATCCGAGTCCTAGACTGCTCCAGATAATCCTGCGGCGGAGGTTGACTATGCAAAGCTGTGCTGCTCGCACATTGGCATTGGGCTCACTGTTTGATATAAGGTTTGCTAGCTCTTGCGGCTTCAACGTCTGGGGTGGCCCACACACCGGGTAGCTGCCGGCCAACATGGGATCCTCTTCGCTGTCGCACACGCCCCAGTCGGCACCCTGACCTCAACACTGTGCGAAAGCTAGAAGAGGCGTCTGGGCGAGGGCTCACCGTCTCTTCTGCTTAGCAGTGTGCTGCAACTTACACAATGACTTCGCGGTTTTACTCCTTTCACGTCAGTGCAGGCAGTGCAGAAGCCAAAGGCTCAAACATAAAGGCTGTTCGACTGCGCACCAGGACCTGGCAAAGTTCGAGGCACAGCTTAGTTTGCAAGAGGGAATCGCTTGGCACAGGCAATTAAACACTTGCTTCACATTGACTGCTACAAATGCTACTTTTTCTGCCGTTCACTGCAGACGCGAGTGCAGTTAAAGCGATGCTGCGGGGGCTTGTGCTCCGTGCACACGAGGAAGAGTCGCGCTGCAACCGCTTGACACTTCAGACCATGACGGTGGATGCTGAGGGTGCCGGAATGGAAGCAAAGCTGATCCAGCTGAAGTTGAACACTTTCGGCTGCCCAACGTGAGGCGAAGTTCTCCATCTCCCTGTCCAAGAGAAGGGCGGCTGCTGGTCTGCCGTGGGCCCACTAATTGCACTGAAGCGCAGAGCCTGGCAATCTGAGGCGGTACAGATCTTGCCGTCGGTGTTGCCGAAAGCCTCCGTGGTGTTCTCCCAGGGATGCAAGTCGTACCTGGGGGTTCCCAAAAATAGGGGACCCTAATATAGTACCCCATTTAGTAGGATCCCTATGATAAGGACCCCAAAATAAGGGACCCCCTATTTTCGGAACCCCCCCACCTAGCAGCAATGGCATTCTCAGGTGCCCGAGGCTCCCATGGACCTTCATAGCCATGAGCGGACAGGGGATCATATCGCCAGTTGTTGTAGCGGAGAAGCTTCTGAACTTTCGGAAGGTCTGTCGCCTTGAGGATGTCGCGGGCAAAGATCCTTGCCCGCGGATTCTTCGTGTAGGAGTAGGCGTCGCCATAGCACCGCTCCATAAAGTCTGCGCCGGACGCTTCCCGAATTGCAGGGAAGTATGGGGAGTTGTACGAGACCCAAAAGCCCTGACTTCGCCTCAGCTTGGTGGAAATGGCCATGGAGCACTTTAAGCGTGTACACTGCTTCAGCTTGCAGATGAGTGGCAGCACCTCACTTACATCTTCCCAAACGATGATACCGGGCATCTGCTCCAAAACAGTGAGCATACCATCTGGCACCTCCTCACCAGGTCGGAACTTGCTGGTCGCAACAACCTGCCTTGGATTGAATGGGACACTCTACAGCACAAGCTTGAATCCCATCATCCTAAGCAAAAGCACCAAACCATAAAGAACCTCGACCCCAAACCCCATGCCTAAACCGGCGAAGTTGCAGACTTGCCCTGTCCGATTCGACTTTCCTCCTAGCTGGACGGGGGAAACGTGCGTGCTCTTCCAGGATCATCTTGCGGGTTCTTCCAAACTAGGATCGATCTCGAAAGTCTCCCGAAATCAAATAAGAAGCCCACCCCCATCCCCCCGGCCCCCCACCCGAAGATCTCTCTCGCGCAATGGACTGGGGACATCCTTTCGGAGAACGCAAAAACAAGACCCTAAAGTCCTAAAGAGATGTTGCCCCCCCCCCCCCCTCCCTAACCCCTAAACCCTAAACCCTAAACCCCTAAACCCTAACCCCTAAACCCTAAACCGGCTCAAGCCCGAAGATGCAGTGATAAGCTGCCATTGATTGTTGATCGTTCCGGAGTTGAAGGGCGAAAACCATCGAGCCCAGGAGCGGCCGTCCTTAGTGCAAGGGATTTGAATAAGGGTAGTTTTCTTAATTATATGGGTAGTTTAGGGTTTAGGGTTTAGGGTTTAGGTATATGGGTAGTTTTCTAAATTAGGGTCCCTTTGGGGGTCCTTTTTATAAGGGTGCCGTACTATATTGGGGACCTAAAAAGGGACCCCAATTTAGAGAACTACCCATAAGCTGAACTTGGAGTATAGACTTTACTGCAATGGTTCATCAGGGATACGGATTGTAGTGGAATTAGAACAGAGCTCTCTTGAGCTTTTTCGTCGAACTCGTTGTGGGTCTAAGGCTTTAGGATTGATCTGGGTCGGCAGCATGCTGACAAGTGAAAAGGTTGCTTACTCGGCATCTGAGCTGCTGTGGCACGGCGATTTGCTACTAAAGTCCTCGCCCACGTCAAGACGCTCTCGGGTTTGATCAAGGCGGCAGTGGTCTTGTTGTACAGCCTGAGACTGCCCGGGGCTAAAATCGTCGTAATGGGCGGGATGCCGCCTGTGACACGGCCGTAGCAAGGTTAGGATCCTTGTCCTGTCCAATGCAGAAGCATGAGGACACAATGCAGTTTTGTTAGATGATGACTTGTACTACCTGTGCTCTGACTGCTGCCTGCTTGCTAGTCCTCCTCTCTTGAAGCATGAACTTTGATAGACGTCAGGTTGGCCACCGACATGAACCGATATACTGATCTCAACGTGGCTGATTTGCAGCGTCGTGATCATGTGAGGTTACTATATCTCCACTCTCTTGTTTGTGATAATGACGCTACTTGTGTGTGTAGTGTCCCCTGCAATAGCTACGCGAGAGCCGCAAGAAATTAATCATAGCTAATCTCCTGCCCTGGCCGGTTTTACTTGGATACACCACCTGGAGCCTGCCTGTGTGGCTCAGAACCTCTCAGCATAGAAGCGAGTTGGTTGTCTCCTGCACCGTAAGGCCAGAGCTTAAGGTATAGAAGTCGTCTCCACTGTAGAGTTGGCCATAGTATCCAGAGAACACGACCTTATCTGCAGCTCCGCCCAGGGGAATGTCATACTCCTGCGGGCTCAACTGACTCAGGGTCTCACCTCTAGGGGCTTGAATGTATTATAAGCATTATCATAAATCATAAGGCTTAGGGGCAAATTCTCGTATCATAGTGAAATCAAGAACCCTATAGTAACAGAACGAAATGCGTCATGGCCCTCTGTTTGAGTCCTTGAGGAGTCGCAGCATCGAGTAGTAGCCGGTCCAGGTATTGTGCCCCACAAAGAGGTCGCTGTTATTGGGCGCTAACCTGAGAATGGAGGCATCCTATTCCGGTGACAACAACGTATTCCATGAGGTACTTTAACGAAATCCGAACCCCGCCTGATGATGGAGGAGCAATGGGAGGTCTTGCGTGTGAACTCGGCAGCGCGCTTCAGAGTCCACTCGTCCTCGGCGAAGGGATCCTCCACCACGTTGTACAGGTCCTGCTCGGCCTGAAAGAACAGGAAATCGAGCAGGGAAAGGCAATTCTGGCCGCAGGCAGCAGCGTTGCCAGCCACCAACCCGTCGAGCTGCGCCCACACGATGGCAATCTCTGCCCACCAGTCGTCCGCTGCGCTTTTGATTTTCTCCCGCACGAACCGATCATTTTTCATCAAAAAGGATTCTGCTTCGGCATAGCTCGTGTTCCCCTTGAAGTAGGCCTCCCGGTAGGAGAGCTTGTGCTCGTAGGATCGCTTGCTGGTCATGGCACCTTCAGCAAAACCGGCAGCAAAGGCCAACCTGAGGCGATCCTTTTGCGAAATCTGGAAACTGGGGCTACGTGGCCGACCGTGAATGTGAAGTTTCGCCCAGCCCACTTGCTCCACCGTGTCTTGATACTGTGCAACGACATCGGCATTCGGCAGGGCCCCGTGCGCCAAGGTGCAGGCGAAGACATGCGAGGCACCGGAACTCTCGCTGGGCTCCTGATGGGAAGCAGGCTCTATTCCGAGGGCCGCTAAGTAGGGTCGCCGTGATGTCCTGACGACCCCGAACAACTCTGTGTCTGACAACACCTAACAACGGGACCACGGTCACAACTCTCCGGCATCCCGTGGTTGACAAGTTGGGCCTCGCAGGAGACGCTGGCAACTTCCCAGTCGACAGCCCAAGCTCCCGTGCACGAGAGCAGAAGCGTCAACAAAGCAGGAGCTGACATGCTACAGCTGTGCGTCATGATTGGCCCATCTACGGACTTGAGCCAAATAAGTCTTCCTTCGGGAACCGACTGCACCTTGACAAGCCTTCTGCATGCATGATCTCTAAGCTCTGCTTGGGAGGAAGGAAACCCCTAATTGGCCCCTACATACGACGCAGTTCACAACTCAAAGGCCATAGAGACGACGGCCTCGGTGCATCGCCATCAGGATTGCAGCCTCAAGTAGTACGAGATCAGAATCCCAAGGCACTGTCTCCCATATTTTCGATGATCCACCGAACCGGACTCAGGCCATCGCAGGAGCTGTCGCACATCTGTCCGGAAGGTGTGAACCAGACTTTTTTGCAGGTGCAGCCAGCAGCAGTCAACCTGACCATGCGCATACACTCTGTGAGAACGGCGGAGGAACCCAATCCCTGACCCCATGACCTGAATATCCTAGATTCCCAAGACTGGGTTGTAGATTTAGGGCCCTGAAAAGTATTTATGAATAGGTACCTCCATAGAAGCCATAAGGGAAATTTTAAAGTTTCCCAAATTGCCACCTAGAAGAGGAAGCTTGACATCAGGCTTTGCTTCAAAGAGCACCTACTTTCACATGACCGCCGTGCCTTGGGATGTTCATAGCAATGGGCACCGTGCATCCCAGTGTATAGCTGCGGAAATCGGGAGACGATTGGATTTGCAATAAGGTGGCAGGGACCCGCTGCAAGCCGATAACGCAGTCGAAGTGGAAGTCTGGAAGAAGCCGCGGCCAGGTCGTGATGGTAAGAGTCAAGTCGGTACCCCCAGAGGAAGGGCCCACAACGGGTGTCACTTGAGCAAGCCTGAATCGTAACTCGGGGTCGTGCGAGAGGTTTCCCTGCACCTCCAACCGTGGGATGTCTGGCTGAAGGACTAGGTCCTCACTCATTTCCGGCTCGACGTCTCTGTGCAAAACCGTCAACCCCAAAGAGGAATCTGACCACTCCTGACCGTTCAGTGTCACACGCAGCTTGACCATGTCTTCCCCTTTACGCAGCCAGGAGAGGCCGTCGGGAGTCGGGCACAGTATGAGATGACGGGACAGGTACTCGGGCTCTGTGGTCACAAAATTCGTGTCCCAACCAACTTCCCTGTTCACAAAGAAATCACCTCCAGACACCCACACATTGATGATGTCTGGAATTCTCTCCTCCAGCGTCTCATTGTCATCTGTGTAGTTCGACCAAGTGGCATTCTCATCGGTTGTAGTAACTGTGGATGTGGTGGACGAGGTGGTTGTGGTGCTGGTGATGGTGGTGCTGCTGGTGGAAGAGGTTGTGGAACTAGTGGACGAAGTAGTGGAGGTGGACGACGTGGAGGTCGTAGTGGAAGTGGAGCTGGAGGTGGTTGAAGAAGATGATGTGGTTGTGGAGGTGGAGCTGGTGCTGGTGCTTGTGCTCGTGCTGCTTGTGGTCGTGCTGGACGTTGTCGTGCTTGTGGTGCTGCTAGTTGTCGTTGTCTGCGTTGTTGTTGAAGCGTTGTCCGACTCATTTACATCGTCGCTGTCGTCGGAAACATTCTCGTCGACACCATCGGAATTGTCCGGACCAGCAGTTGTGGTTGGTGCCAGGAAGCTGGTCGTGCTGGATCGCACGGTGGTTGTCCTCCCAAGCACTCAGAGCCACGAAAGAATCCACTCGGCAACCCGTACTAAACCTGGTCAGGATCCTAAAAAACCAGAACCCTACAGCTGCGTCCTCTTCGTCACCGTGACATTTACGCTGATGTTTGGAGCGGTCTCGTTGGTGTCGTTTTCGACCTCATCATCTTCTTGTAGTTCTGGCTGCAGCCCACCTCGGCTTAGGCATGCATACACGCACGAGCACGCAAAGACAGACAGGCGGAGATGCACATCCAGAGACCTAGGTAGTATTATTAGGGGTACCCCTTAAAGGGTACCCCTTCTGAACCCTACTGTTGGCTCTTTTAAAGGGGACCTTATTGAGAGGATCTATATCCCCAAGGGTCCCCCTAATCCTAGCTCCCAAGACCGATGTGCACATCTGCAGAGACCGAACTGACGAGATGTGACTGCTGCCAGACCTTGCGCGACGGACCTCCAGGAGCAAGCTTGAATTGTCTATCTCCTTTCGACCTACCCAAAGTAATATAGGGGCCTTATAAGAATCACCTATACTACTTTGGGGGCTGCTTATTATAGTGATACGTATTATAATGATAGGATAATATATCCCTTCTCATCTCTTAACTTCAAGAACTCCGCAAATGCATATCACACGGACAGGGAGCTACTCCCATCTACGCGCAGACTTCGAGAACAGGGATCCCACGAGCAATCCTACTTCCTAACAGCCTCTACAGAAGGCCTTCTCCCTGAAGCGTATGAAGTTTGGAGAGCCTTCCTGTGGCAGCCTGTATGCGTTTGACATTTTCAGAGACATATGACCTTGTTGAAAATGACACGTATTGACGCAGATGTGCAGCGGAAAATGCACAGCAAGTCCCATGGCTGGGAGATGAACACCGCCCCGAAGTGACGATCACAACTGAACCGTGGGCGAAGCCGCTGGTGGTGGTCACGTTGCTCTCGTTCTCGCTGGGAGGCTCCGTTGACGTGGTAGCTGTTGTTGGTGCAGATGTGGTTCTGCGCGGGATAGCCTGGCGACACCAGGGCATGTGAAAGGTCTTGAAATCTCTGCGCCATCTGGCTGAGGGCTTTTCGCGGTACGGGTGCAAGGATATCTCATTTCGGGTTGGCTTGGGGCCAAGCCTGCGGCAGCTCAATGTCACGATCCAGCATCCACTGGGTCAGGTTGTCGATATCAGGCTGGAACTCCAGATCTCCCCTGCATCGGATTGAGCTTGAGATCGACTTTTCGGGTTCAGGGGACGTGGGGTGGTGGTTAGGTCACTGGTCATGATCTGTTGCTACAGTAGAAACCTGCTTACGAACCAGGCCTGTCGTATCCGATGTGAACTCCGGCAAAAGTGCCGGTGTACCTTTCCAAGGAGATGATGTCTTTGCCGACAATCTCGGCCACCAGAGCATCATCCAGGCGTGGCAGAAGTGGTTCAGCCAGCACACCGTTCTCGTCAAACAAGTGATATACCTTGAGTCGTCGAGCGCGTGCTCGTGCTAGTGAGCATGCCAGTGCCTAAAAACGAGCCCGGATGGGACCCGGCAGCATTAATTACGAGTAGTTGAATCTTACATCCTGAGGCCATGAGGTATCATGCAATGTAGCCCTTCCTCCATGGCGAGACACCCAGGTGCCATCTTTCTGGTAGGAGACGCACATGAAATGATCCACGCGATCCAAGGGCTCGAGAGCCTCCGCGGAGAACCTCGACAGCACCGTCTTAGACTCACGAAGCCTGTCACCCCCAGCTTCTGCAAGTCATGCCTGAAAAGTTTGCAACCAAGAGACATGACGAAGGTGCGAATCGCATCCGCTGCGATGCGGGAGCTGCACTGCACATGCCCAAGCCACGTCCATACAGGAATCCGGTGGGTGAGAAGGCTGCGGCGTTGCACCCGACTTTCGAAGCCACAGCGAAGAGATGAGACAGGTCGGAAGTTCGAACCGTGGACCTTGAGATGGGTACTCTTTCCGTCGATCACCTGCTTGGGCTCAACATCGAAGAGATGAAGTGGCTCAACGTACTCCAGCTGCATCATTCCGACGTTGGCGGACACCACGCTTGGAAGACCACGTGCATCACGGGCTGTCAGATACACACGACTGATGCCCACAGTACGAGGAGGGACTTGACAGCGAATCTCCAGGTTCGAGATGCGGACCGCACGCGACCGCTGCCTAACACCTTCGAAGCCACACCTGACACACAAGAACTCGAGACTGATCGACTCACATGTCTGCACAACCTGCTCACCCGGGTGGGACTTATGCGGACTAATACTACATTCTAAGCTAAACTTGCCATCAAGGGGCCACATGTCTTCCTGCCCATAGAAGTTGCCGTAAATAGCGAGCTCCGCACCACCGGCGACATGTACGAGGTTTGGATTCAAGCTCGCCGGTATGCTGGCCTCTTCATGAACGACTGGCAAGATTACAAGACAGCTGCTACTGTAGTATGCTATATTTTCGATGGCAGGAGCCGTACAGGCTCTTACGATGCTGATTGTCAGTCTTCCGCGCGACAGCATGAGACAGCGACAATCGTGATGGTTGTTCTTATCAGAACTTGGCACGACCGTAGCACGAACCCATGCCATCAACTGAACATCCCAGATCCTAAACCCTGGAGCTTAAAGTCTAAAACCTATACATCTTGAACATCGCTTCTAAACTTGAGCTCCCCAGATCTTAAACCCTGGATCCTAAGTCCTCGATCCTTTGTTTTGAGGTCCCGTCTGCCTCGGTGTTGTACCCAACCCCTAGCGGAGCCACCATCTGCTCGGAGACGTGGGTCTCTGGCACCGGGTCCACCTCACAGGGCTCGGACTCGAGATTGCTTGTAGGGTTCTCGGGCATTGAGTTTGGGGTGTGGGGTTTCGGCCATGTGGTCGGAGTGGCTCAGTGTTTCGGGATTTGAGTTTAGGGCTCGGGCTTGGCGGCTTAGAAGCATGGGGCAGCAGATGTCTTCTTCCCTGTCGCCTCGAACGAGCAGTTGGTATACTCAAAGTACCTTGGCCGCATGGCCCGCTCCTCTGTCATGTTGCCATGTCCTTAGGATGTTGCGCGACCCCCACTTTGAAGCATTACTGTGGAGTGAGGCCCAGACTTCTCGTGGCAGAGGTATTGCTGGACATGCTGGACATGTTGCTGTCATTGCCCATGTCCATCATTTCATCGTCATCGTACTCCTCGACCGGTGTCACTGCATTATTGTACAACATGGTGGAAACGGCATGCAATGAACATGTCGCAGAAGCAGCCACCACATCCGTTCCGGCATCCTCCCATACCTCCATCTCGATGGACTCGTTGCCACAATCCCTCACCTGCACCCGAACTGGTAGAGACAGGCGAGCATCCCATCACATAGAACTAGAGCGTGCCATGACTCGACGGTGACGGTGGCACGCATGTTTCGCCGTGTTTTATATTGGTGCCCAAGAGAGCATCCCACCCTAAACCCCACTCACTAAACCCTGTTTTGAATCATGCCTTTCTGGGCCATAAAAGCCCTCTAAAACACTCGTAAACCCGAGTTAACACCATAAAACCTGATCCAAAATACCACTAAAGCCCATCATCCGAAGCACTGGGAGAGCCGGACGGCCTCTGGAGCTCCCACATGGGTTTGCACGCTTCGCATGCGAACGCCGGCCACCTGAGTATCAGGCTTTAGGGCTTTAGGTTTATGGGGTTAGGGTTTTAGGGCTCAGGGTTTATAGGGCTCAGGGTCAATATAGGGTTTAAGGTTTAGGGCTCAGGGTTTATAGGGCTTAGGGTTTAGGATTTAAAGCTTTGGGCTTAGGGACACGGCTCACTGAGACTGTGCATGCACCGAACAATCTCGCATTAACGTTGCCGAAAGACTACGGAAAGCCCAGAAGCCCAGCCGAACGTCCCAAACAGGAAACCTCCTCAGCCCCAGAGCATCCTAGAGCCCGAATGTAGGGGCCGAAATATAGTTACCAATACTATTTTGGGGGGGCTCCTGATTCGCAATTATAGTATAATGGGCCCGAAAACCCAAGTCTAATTAGTAAGGCCCCTATATTAGACCTAAGTCCGCATCAACCTGCCAGCACTGCACTGGGGGCACCTTCACGCGTGATGCAAAGGCAAAGGTGAGGTTCTCCATGTGTCGACCATATTTGGTTGGCCTCATCACATGGCTGCAACTGCGGTTCCACTAGGGACCCAAACGAACCAAGGCTGGGATGGTAGGGATATCCCACGCCTAAGGCTTTGCTTGGGTGCGTTTTTGGTTCCTGATCCACGGTTCAGTAGCTGCGCACATGATGGCGGTCATTCCCAGACGGTCCATATACACTACCATGATGGAATTAGGTCCCAAAAAACAATCCCTATTATGGTTTTGGGGACCTAATTCCATAATAGTAGTATATATGGACCCTCTGGGATTGAATGAATTGAAGCTCACCCTCGCAACCCAAGTCCTCGATGTCTAGCCCACGGTGTACAGCTCCCATGCTCTCAAAGCGCTAAGCAAAGCAACACCCTGGACTTCGCAATCCTGGAAAGCCCATGCAGTCCTGCGGCCCCTAAAGTATAGCCACGGTTTAGGGTTTAGGGTTTAGGGTTTAGGGTTGAAGGAACCTCATTTGACACTACAGGGGGCAAGTCACCTTACTCAGAGCTTTACAGAGACCCCAAACGAAATGGGAGTTTCCAAAAATAGGGGACCCTAATATAGTACCCTAAATAGTAGGACCCTTATTATAAGGAACCCCAAAATAAGGTACCCCTATTTTCGGCCAAATAGCTTTTGACCCCATAGACCTCAAGCCCGAACACCTGAACCCTCGGACCACCGAGTCTGTCCCAAAGCCCATTAAGGTAGTTCTCTAAATTAGGGTCCCTTTTTGGGTCCCCAATATTTTAAGGTTTAGGGGTTTAGGGTTTAGGGTTTAGGTCTTAGGGTTTAGGGTTTAGAGTTGGTCTTTCTTGGGTCCCCAATATAGTACGGCACCCTTATAATATGGACCCTAAACAGGACCCTAATTCAGAAAACTACCCAATTAAGATGCCGGCGTGAGCAAGCACCGGAGGCCAGTCTCAGATACTTGTACTGCAGGGAAAGCAGCCTGGATCTTACGGTGGTGAGGGCTTAAAGGGCTTACGGCGTAAAGGGCTTGGCAGTTAAACGTGATACTCTATATCTGCATGACCACACCATCGTAGACATGGTGACTTCTAAACTTGTGTCATTGAGGTTGCGGGGCTTGTGCGATGAACAGAAGTGAGCGGGCTTTCATGGCTTTCCATGGCTTGCGATTTACAAGCGTTTGGGTTGAGGCCAAGTCTCTACGGTGTACTTCTGATCTACACGCACACACAAATAAAATCTTAGATGGAGTCTTGACATTGACATGCAGAAGACGAGTGGCACCATGCATGCTGTTGCGAGTCTTATTCTCAGCACGACGAAGATTATCACGAAGACGACGGCGGCTACTAACACCACCACTTTCCTCCTGCTCCTCCTACTGCTACTCCTGCTGCTGCTGCTGCCGCTGCTGCTGCCACTGTCACTCTCGTTTCCGCTGCCATTGCCACTGCTACTGCCACTGCCACTGCAACGAAAACCACGGTACGTGCGCAATGCCCTAGAAGGTGCGAAGCGTCACTCATGCAGAGCCTCTGGAATCGACGGCAGAACTGAACAGAGAACCGAGCCCAGCTGTTGTTGCCGTCCTGCACCAAGCACCGCGGCCTGGTCTTCTGAGCACATGGACATCTTGACTACGTACGTTGCTCTCTTGAGATTGACCTGAACTACGTAAAACATGAACCAATGCCGGAGACTTTTAACGACTTCCGTCAAGCTCCATGTTGAAGACTCCGTCAGATCCTGGGAATCGCGGTAGAGAATCAAGAAGGAATGCCCACGGTGCACAAAACCCACAAACCCAAAGCCCAGCCCTGAAAGCCGAGCCAGCGCCCATCCCAAGCCCTCAACCGAAGAAACACTGATTCTCAAACCGTAAACCTTAAATAGTAACCTTAAATTTTCAAAGCCAGAGCCCCGAATCGGAAACCCTAAAACCCTGACGTTTAAACCTTGGAAAGCCCTAGGCTCCCAGGCTCCAGTGAGGGGTGGAAGTGGCGGCCATATGCGTGGATGTGAGCACGCTGCTCGATAGAGACACCTTCAGGTTTTCGGCTCAGGGCACAGAAGCTTTCGGGTTAGGGCTTTTTAAAAGTGCATTAGGGTTTAAGTCTTATAGGGTTTAAGTATAATGGTTTATAGGCCTCATAAAGTAAACTTCAAAGTCATGCGCGGCTTTGTCAGGAGATGGATCAATGTTTCTTCAAGCAGGCCGATGAACCGCAACACTGCACTCTCATTCCAAAGCAGAACTCCCTTCAGTTGTAGGCTTCTCTATACTGGGTTACAGCAACCAGGACCCCAAAGGTCCTAAACCCTAACCCTAAACCCTTATTGCCTATAGTCTCCATTGTAGTTCCTTTTTGGGGTTAACTTTTGGGATCCTTAATACAGAATTGGCTAAACCAAAACCAGGAACTACAATGGAGACTATACCTATAGGGTCATACCCTACCCCTTTTTTTGGTTACCTACTTTTCTATATATCAGATCCTAACCAAACCCTAAAATGGCATGACTGGCGGAGACCTCTCGGCCAGATCGTCGACACCGTGGGCGCGGGGAAGATGGCAATGCCTCGGTTACCCCCCCCGGTCGACGTGGCTCCTTTTACGGCGCCTCGTTGAGGAGCCACGGTCTGGTGCTGAGGGTTTAGGGTTTAGGGTTCAGGAGCCACGGTCTGGGGTTTAGGGTTTATAGGGTTTAGGGTTTAGGGTTTAGGGTTTAGGGTTGCCTCTCAGGACCGCAACCTACAAGCTCTGGCACGCCAGTCTTGCATGATCTTAAATGCCTGTGTGAGAGAGCTGTGCCTCCTAAAACCCCTAAAGCCCTATGCCCTCATTCCGAAACAAGAAATCCTACAGACCCTAAAAACCCTGCGCCCTAAACCCCAAAAGCCCAAAGCCCAGCTCAGGTTGCTGCGATTGTGCCAGTGGAGGAAGGCCGGTCGCTCTGGCATCCGGTCGACCAGACCCAGCCTGGCCGAGAAACATGCGACTTCAATTAGGGCTTTTGTAGGATTCAGGGTTTAGGGAAAGGGTTTAGGGCTTAGGCTAGTTTAGGGTTCAGGGCTTCAGGGTTTTACATAGGATTTTTGGGGCTTAGGATTTAGTAGGGTGGTCACAGGTTTGACGGTTTAGGGCTTCGCGGAAGTACAGTGCACCGCAGGCGTGTCTTTCTCGGCAGCTCCTAAACACCACGGCCAAATGCGCAACCGCTATCGCATGACGTGTTCGCCTTCCTCAGAAACTTGCCAGGGCACTCAACGTGCACCTCGGACAGAAGCTCGTCGTGTCCTGCTGCACTGGAGAACATGACAAGTGCACAGAACTGGCCGGCGCTCATACGTCATATTCATGATTGCGATTTGCCCACTGGAAAGAATGGGCAAAAGTCCATATGCGTGCTATGTGGTTCTTCATGGCTTAGCCTTGCTACCATGCCTTACCGGCGCAGCTGCGATGACTATGACCCTGATTCTCAGGATTCTCCCAACCATGTCAGGCAAAACCGAGCGGATGTCCGGGGTTGGTGGATACTGAAAGGGTCTCATTACCTTGATCAAAAGATCGCCCATCCCATCTCGGTTGATTCGACTTCTGTCACTACGAGGCTTTTGTTTTGCCATGTTGACGTCATATTTGCACTGGAATCCCACCCGTATTTGCAAAAACATCGGAGAACCTAATTGGAAGCCCTCGCCCCACACCCTCCCGTAATAGCAAAGTCCGAGGCGGCCAAGCACATGTAAAACTCATGGATGTGGTGTAGAAACTGTTCGACACTCAGACCACAGCAGCAATCTTTAGGGGTCTCCGCCAGCATACGCCTAGTTAAGCGGTCGGGGGTCCGCATCCTTAGGGGGAGGGGAGAGGGCTTTCTCAATATGAAGTTAACATAAGGGAAGTGAACGCACCACGATGTACAGCTACTACAAGTGTTGCTCTAATCGGGGTCATGATGACTAGAGTCACCAAAATAGTCTGAGCGCTGTACTACTTGTACTTAATGGAGACAGCAGCAACAACGCTGTGCCACGTAATTATAGCTATGTAACAGACTACTTTTGTCTTTACTGCCGCAGTTGTTATCACCGATCATCTTCTGTTTTGCAGTAGCGGCTGTGCCGCTGCTCCGACAAATATGTGCTGCGGAGCCTCAACTAGCCTCAACCCTTGTATTAATTGCCTGAATGGAGTTGGTGTGAATCCAGTAACCCTAAAGTTTGATGATACCCCTGAGCATCTAGATCTAGGTGTTGCTTCTAGGCCTCGTGGTCGAACGAGATCCCCGTGTCCGACACGAGGAAGCCAGCCTAAGTCTCTGCTGGCGAAACCACAAAACACTCACGAAGTCCCATGTGGTTGCTTCTCTCTCGTCTCCTCTCGTCCTTCGTGTCAGTATGCTGGCACGTGGTACTGTGATGGCGATGATGACTTCCAGCATGATAACTCCTGCTGCTACTCCCGGAATCCTGTGTACATATCCCAGACTAGAACTTCGAAAGCAACTGCACATCCCACCCCAATAATATGGCAAATTCCATGAGATCTACCTTACCCACGGGTGCCCGACGGTGAAGTGCCGCCTGGCAAACCTCGAGCACGAAGAGGAGAGCGATCCTCTGAGGAATTCTTGGAAAGGGTTATGGTGTTGAAGTGCCAAGGGACTAAAGCCCGAATCACTAAACCCTGAATCCGAAACTCCACACCCAAAACCCGATGATGCACACCGGGAAGTGAAGAAGGGCCTGTCGCAGCGGCTCGTCTGCGAACAAAGGCCCCAGGAAAGCGCGGCCGCTTCGAGCAGGACTTGCTGGAACTGCCAGAGCGCTTTCGTAGGCGATGTGAGTGGTCTGGGTTTGGGGTCAGGTTTCGGGGGTTCGTCGGCTTGGGTTGGAACATTTAGGAAGTAGGTGTCGGGTTTCCGGATTTGGGAAGATTTCGCAAAGTCCAAACGAGATTGGGAACTGCCGGAGGTTGGTGCTTGGAGCTGCAACTCCATGGAACTCTTGAATCGAGAAGTGAAGCACAAATCACATGGAAAAACCTTGGGGCCCAGCCGAAGGTATATAGTATACATGACAGGAAGCCGATGACCGATGAAGGGGTGGTGGAACTCTCTGCTTGGAGGCCCAGGGGACTTAGGAACTAGGTTATAAGTAGAGTTATAAGTGCCCCAAATGGAGTTATTCACAACCCTACTTATAACCGACTTACTAAGTCCCCTGGGCCTCTCTCTGGATGATGGCGCTGTAATTCAGCGAAGCCCGGGCCATGGCCAGGAAGAAATCGTCGATCTGGCGGCTGGGTTCTTGTTAAGGGATTTAACTTAAGTTACCATAATGGGTTTAGGGTTTAGGGTTTAGGGGGGTTCTTGTTAAGGGATTTAATTTAAGTTACCATAATAGGAATCTCATTATTATGGTAACTTAAATTTATTACATCCCTTAAAACAGAACCCAGGAGGGGGCTGCGAATCTCTGGCCGTAGAGCTCCCTGACTAAGGCCTATAAGGGGCGTGCAGAATCCTGTAGAAGAGCTGTGCTGGAGCTAATGCCTAGAAAAAAAAAGCTGCCTCCATCTATCCCGGCAACTTCCAAGAACTTCAGAAGCTTGGAATTCCCTAAACCCCTAAACCCTAAACCCCTAAACCCTAAACCCTAAACCCTGCAGAGGCCAGGCCTTGGGAACCTGGCAGCTGGCATGGTGGCCCTCTTCCGACACCCAGGCAGGCCCGTCGAAGTGCACGGTGCTGCCGTAGCCCAGCTGCGTGCGCCTGGCTGCTGAGGTCTACGAAGAGCTGCATCAAAACTCTCCATCTGCAGCCAAGTTCGAGGCGAACTTGAGCTAAGGGGCTTGGAAGAGCATAGGGCAACCCGTGTCCCAATCTCATGCGCCTGTCCTGAAATCAAGAACGACGAAGCCAAGCCTGACTGCCCTAGACCACGCTAGCAATCGCCCATGGGTGGTTGTCAAAATTAGGGTCCCTTTTTGGGTCCTTATTATAATACGGCACCTATTATTTAGGGTACCCCAAAAGGGACCATAATATTGACAACTACCC